GAATTGTACAGTAGTCTGCCCATTGGTTAGGCTGGGCTGGGTTAGACCCTCGGCGCCGCGATGGAGAGCTGCAGCACCCCGCCGGCATCCCAGAACTGGAGCCTGGAGCCGGAACCGGGCTTTGGGGGCACAGGGTGGGCTGGGAGGCGGCACAGAAGGATGGGGGCACCACTCTGCTGTGGGGCTGGGGGACAGTGGTGGCTGGGGGGAGAGCGGTGGAGGAAGACTGAAGATGGGGGCCATGGAGCACTGGGGATGTGGGCAGCGCCTGTCTGCTCAGAGGGCCGGGGCTCGGCCGAGGAGGGGGTGGACACTCTTCCCCGAGCTCACTGCCTCCGTATTCTCAGCTGTTCCAGTGCAAAACCCCACTCACACCCAGTACACATGCACCTCCACACTCACACCACAACTCAGACACATCCACACACCCAAACCTCACATCTCACATCCATGCTCCGAGCACACGTGCACGCACAATCCATGCTCCGAGCACACGTGCACGCACACACACCAGACACCTCGACCTTCACAGGGGAACTCTCGCCCTCCCCACCTCCACACCACCCATTCTCAGATATCCCACATTCACACCCTCCCTCCTCAGGCTCACTCCCCACACCCAGCACACACACACGCCGAGCACACCTCAGGCACGCCATTGTCCCCAAGTGCACACAGACCCTCATATTCCAAACACGCCTAGATGCTCACGCCCCGAACACACGCTCCTATAAAATGGCACACACATATGTACACACACGCACAGACCCTGCACGCATGCTTGCACACCCCTCCTCCCAGCAGTCATTGCTCGCAGCCCACTCCCACCTCCCAGAGCCAGTTCTCAGGCATGACTAAGGTTAAATGTGCAAACAAGGCTCAGAAAAGACCCACACACCCAGACTGAGGGCAGGAGAACCCTCGCCCAGGGCAGTGGTTGCAGCCCTTGGCCCCAAGGTCACCACATCCCCCATGCGGTGTCAGGGACCCCAACACAGGAGCACCAGACCCGCGGTGGTGGTGGGGGCTCCAGGAAGACGGCCGGGGCAACAGCAGGAAGTGGCCCCCCGCCCATGCCCCACACCACCTCACACTCATCCCTTCCAGGGCCTCCTGCTCGGGAGAGGCCGGGGTTGGGGTAATGAGGTCCAGATGGCTTGGCGCCCCCGCCGGTGACGGCAGAGAGCCCCGCCCAAGGTGGGGAGGAGGGGGCCCTGCCTGGACAAACTTGAAGGAGACAGGGACCAAGAGGGGGCTTGGAGATAAAAATCACAGGCCCCTGCCCTGTACCCCTCCCCAGCCGAGAGTACCCTTATCTTCCAGCAGCCCCCTCAGGAAGAAGAGGGTCCCTTCCCCCACTGGTGGCCAGCTGGAGTTCATTACCACAAGCCCCCCCAGCCCTCCCCGTCTGTCTGGTCACCTCTGGAATCCAGATGTGGAAGCCAAATACACTCATTCTTAAAGGAGCCCAGCTACATGGGAAGGAGGTGGCAGGGGGCTTCTGAGTGCCTGGGGGCAGGAGGGTCGATGTGGTGGCTCTTCAGGGCATCATCCCTCCTTGCCCCCTGGCCTGGAGGCACCCTGGGCATCTTCCTTGGACCACAAGGGTCTAGGGGACTGGGGTGCAGGGGTTAACCGAGTATCTGGCGGCTGGACACGTGTGTGTCATGGGCCTGTGGGGGCCACCAAGGAGGCGGCACACCCTGGAGCAGGAAAACAGGAAGGCCCACCCTCTCAGGGCGCTCAGCCCCAAGCTCTGCGATCCTCCCAAGCCACCGTCTCCTTCCAACCCAAGAGACAGGGCACCTCCGCCAGTGCCCCCAGGATTGCTTGCCAGATCCTTGCACCCGATTCCACTCACGGGTCTTTGATGGGACGTCTGAAGACCCCTGTTCATGGTCCAGTCTGCTCGAACCTATGCCAGGGTCTGAGCCTGCTCCTGGCTCCACACCTGGCCCCTAATGACCAGCAGGCCCTTTACTCACCTCATCGTCTTTGTACCAGGACAGGTTCTCGGCGGTCAGCACGAACCAGTACTCCTTGGAGCCCCCCTTCATGATGCCAATGTTGTTGATAGTCAGCCAGCCCTTTCGGATGACCTGGAGAGTGTGCAGGCAGGAGGTCAGGGGAAGGGGCCAAGCTTCCCCATGGAGGGCGAGGCAGGCAGAGAAGCATTCAAAAGCCCAGCCCGCCGCGCTCACAGAGGCCTGGCAGTCAGGGGATGTGGGGCCGGACCTGCCCTGGTTTGAATGGCAGTGAGCAGAGGGGAAAGCAGAGGAGGGCCGAGGATAAAGAGCCTCGGGCAGTCAGAGCTGTCTGCCCAGGGGGCTGGTGGCTTTGGCAGGGGTGAGCTTCCCCCGGCTGAAAGTGTGCAGTCTGTGTGGCTGCCTGGAGGACAGCACTCTGTCCTTTAAGCTTAGGGTCCGATCTATCCAAGAGCTGTTCTGACCTCACGGACTTGTCCATGCTGCTGTCGCCTCTGCCTTAGAGAGTATTTCTCTTTTGGCCTGGCAAATTACTCACCTTTCAGATATCAGAATTCGAATTCTCAGGTGGCCCTCCCTGGCCCCAGTATAAATAGTATTCCCCATCAAACCTTTGATCACTCCCTTAAGTCTTCCTCTATAACAATGGCTGCATTTTTAAACTAATGTGTGTGTGTGTGTGTGATTAGTAGCAAAACTGTAAACTGTCTTTTTCGCTAGTATATCCCAGAACTTCGCACAGTGTTTGGCAAACAGTAGGTGGTCAGTGAACACTTGTGCGTGAATAAACAAATGGCATGCTAGTATGGGCCCAGCAGTCCTTGACTCCAGGCCCCCTGGGGCAGGGGGATGCAGCTGAGCCATGAATTGCCCAGGCCCCTTCTTCCTGGGGAAAACCGAGTAATAAGCAAAGGCCCCTTTTTGCTATAGAAAGCAGCTGCCCCAGGACTATCCTGAGCCATGCCACAGAACAGGCCTGTGGGTCCCATTCCAAGGACAGTGACTGCCCAGGCCCTGGAGGTAGGTCAGGCCGTGGGGATGAATGTACTGCTCCGCTTCCACCCCTGACCCCAACACCCTGGCTTTTCTGAACATCCAGCAAAGCCCTCTGGGGCTAGGCTTGCTCCTGGGCCTCTCCCGGCCCCCCTGGAGGTCTCCTCACTCCTCTCTGGCTTCCTCAAGAGCCTTGAAGAGAACTCAGGCCACAGGGGAGGGCACAGCTGCTTTTCCCGGTTAACAGGGACCCGAGAGCCAGGCATCCCATAATTTCTTACTCCATCCCGGCTAGATGACCTCGGCGTCTTGTCTCCGGAACTGAGTCCTCTCCACGTCCCAGGGTCTGACCAGCAGATCTTGCCACCCAGCCTCCTGTCCTGACTTGCAGGTTGCAACCTCCCCTCAGCCCCCAGGCCTGCACCCCTCCCTGTTTACCCAAAGCCTCTTTCCTTTGGAGCTCCAGGGACCTCCTGTCTCCCTACTCCCACCCTGCCCAGGACTCTTGGGAGCCTTGCTGGGCCCAGCCTAAAGGCCCAGGTCTCCAGCGGCAGGAGCAGAGTCTGACTCCTGTGGGCCAGCACAGTGTAGACACCCGTGAGAACTGGCTGAACTGAGTAGTCCTGAGATGTTCGCTCCTTCCTCCTGAGCACTACGGGGTCCCAGAGCTGGGGTGGGACTGCAGAGTTAACCCTGAACGACAGCCCCGCCCTCCTCTTACGGACCCAGGGGAAGGAGACGTTCAGTCAGACATCACACCAGCACCTAATTCTTACGAGGACACTACGGCCCCTGGGACCTGTGGAGAGGAAAGCCGAGGGCCCGGCTCGGGTGGAGAAGGGGCTCCCGACGACTGATCTGTTCACTGACAGCTGGAGGGCAGAGAGCAGGCAGCCAGGTGAGGAGGGACTTGACTGACTTCTCACTCCTCTCTCACTCCCTGGTAGAGACGGCTGGCAGCTTCGTAAGAACATGTCTCTCACATCCATCCACCCCTCCACCCAACGGGGCTGAAGGGGCACCTGTGAAGTTCTGGGCCTTTATGCCCACCCCACCCTGCATGTCTGGCTCCCAAGCAGGTACCTAACCCGGTATGTCACGGGACAGGGGCAGGACTGTGTGTGTCGGCCCCACTCTCAGCGTGAGAGCAGGTGTGGAACCCACGTCCTGATCTGTGCAAGTGGCTCAAAGCAGTGTGCCCTCATGTTCCCCGGAGACCCCCACTGCCGATGGGTCCCCTCCCTCCCTCACTGTGCAAGCCAAGAGCCCCAGTCCTGGTACTCACCAGAATCTCATCCTGCAAAGAGGTAACCATAGCAACCATGAGAAGCATCGAAGAGAGAGGAGAGAGGGTTACTGAGGCACAGTGGGAGCTTGTAGCTGGCAGCTGACAGGTTCCCTGGTCCCCGTGGGACCCTTCCTCTTGGGGGAGGGGGCTCTCAGAGTGTGGCGTCCATCCGGCACCCTCCGTCCCTCGGGCTGTGGTGCCAGGACCCACTCACCTGGTTCCCTGAAGCCTTCTTCTTGCTCATCTGGTTGCTCCTCTGCTGAGCACTAACAGGGGAGAGGGCAGGGGTCAGGACCTCTCTCAAGAGGCCGGCGGCCCCAGGACCCCAGGGCTAACCTGCATATCACCGTCTCTGCCCCAGGCGCACTCACTTGGCAAAGCCTATGAAGTCTTCATGGTTGGTGTTCATGTAGGCCAGCTCAATGTCGATGAGAAGCATGACCTTCAAGGGTACAGAAGTCAGTGTGCGCGGGGGACAGACACCGCCGCGTTTCCAAATGCGTAACAAGGTGGGAAAACAGTGCTCGCAACATGGCACATTACCCAGGTTAGCGCCCATCACAAGCAGGAAGTAGCAGGCAGGAGAAATACCAATCAGACCGGTCCCAAACAGAAATGGGTAATTCACAGAAGAAATGCCTACCACCAATACGGATGCATAAAAACTGCTTGCCCTTGGGGACCAGCAGGTGGCGTGGTGGTTAAGGCGCTGGACACTCCCACATGGTCGACCACAGTTTAGGTCCTAGGCCTGGTGGCTTGCTTTCTCACTTCCCCTCTCTTTCTTTCTGTGTCTCTCTTGGTCAAGTTAGAATAAATGAATGAATAAATGAAATTAAATAAAAATAATTCTTAAAAAAAAAGCTGCTTGCCCTCATTAATCAAGAAATGCAAGTTAAGACAATGAGAGAAAGACTCTCTTGCTCTTCTTTTTTTTTAGAGAGGTTTTTGCTGTAGGGCACGTGTGCTTGCCAAAAAGACAGAGACAGAAAGCGAGAAATCACCCCCCCAGGGGGATGGCCATGCTGCAATCCCTTCTCCATTCTCCTCTCGGGATCTTGGGCACGCATGCACACGTGCCTGGCATCTGGGACCAGAACTGAGGTCGACTACATGGGAGTCCAGAGACACAGCCATTATGCCAACTGCTGGTCCCTCTTTCTCTCTCTTTTTAAAAGCCCTTTGCCATAGATGTGTGTGCTCACTGCAGAGAGACAGAGAGATAATGAGAGAGAAAGTGAGAAATCACCCCCTGACGGGGGTTGGGGATAGGGATGGCGGAGGAGAATGGCCACACTGCCATCCCTTCTCCATTCTCCTCTTGGGATTCTAGGGACATGCACACACACGCTCCTGGTATGTTTCTGAAGCCTCCAGGTCTGGGACTTGAACTGTGGTCAGCATTGTGGGAATCCAGTGCATCATTAATCACCATGCCATCTGCTGCCCTAACCGTGAGTCTCTTTTTTATTTTTCCCCCTAAGTTTTTGCCATAGGGCATGTGTGCTCACAGGGAAGGAAAGAGACAAAGAGACAATGAGAGGGAAAGTGAGAAATCACCTGGGGGGGGGGGAATGGCCACGCTGCGGTTTTTTTTCCATTCTCCTCCTAGGGTAATTAGAGGATTCTAATTTGCTGCCCAGTGTGAGTCTCAAGCCACCGGGTCCAGGACTTAAACCACTTTTGGCCATGTGGGAGTTCACTGTCATAACCACTACACCACCTGCTGGCCCCAGTGAGTCTCTTTTTAACCAATGAAATTAATATTAAATGTTCTTTTTTTTTTAGGTTTATGCCACAGGGCATATGTGTTTGCTAGATAGAGGCAGACAGTGAGAGGAAAAGTGAGAAATCACCCCCAGAGGGGATGGCCATGAAACAATCTTTTCTCCTCTATTTTCCTCCTGGGATTTTGGGCACACATACACACAGGCCGGGCATGATTTTCAAGCTCCAGGACTCAAATCGCAGTCAACCATGTGCGAGTCCAGCACCTTAACCATGCAGAGTGGGAGCTGTGGATGGCAGCTGACAGGTTCCTGGGTGCCACTAGCTGGCCCCAATAATAAATATTCTTTGTTGGGACTAGCAGATGGTGTAATGGTTACATTGCTGGACTCCCACATAGTTGACTGCTGTTCAAGTCCCAGACCTGGCAGCTTAAAACACATTAGGTGCGTGGGACCAGCAGGTGGCGTAATGGCTACGTCGCTGGACTCCCATGTAGTCGACTGCAGTTTGAGTCCTGGACCGGATGGCTTAAACTCACGCCAGGCACGAGTGTGTGCGTGCCCAAGATCCTGAAGGGATTCGGAGAAGGGATTGCGGTGTGGCCATCCCCCCTGGGGGAGGGGGCGATTTCTTGCTTTCTGTCTCTCTGACTTTCTTTGTCTTTCTGGCGAGCGCATGCACCTTATAGCAAAAACCTCTCAAACAAACAAACAAACACACAAAAAAACCCAACACACCAGGCATGTGTGGGTGCATGCCCAAAATCCCGAGGAGAACGGAGGAGAAGGAATTGGAATGTGGCCTTCCCCACCTGGGGAATGATTTCTTGCTTTCTGTTTCTCTGTCTCTCTGTGTTTTTCCAGCAAGTGCACACACCCAATAACAAAAAACTCTCTAAAAACAATAAATAAAAATAAATAAAGTTTCTTTATTGAATCTTCTTTTTTTTAAACTTTTTATTGCCAGAGCGTGTACTTGGCAGAGAGAGAAAGAGGACTCCCTATGGGGCATGATAACACTGCAATCCTTTTTCTTCCATTTCTCCATCTATCATGATTTTAGGCATGCATGCACATGTGCCCAGACCATTTTTCAAGCTGCAGGGACTGATTTGTTTGTTTGTTTGTTTTTGTTTTTTGTTTTTTGTATTTTTCCCCTCGCAGTGCTTAACCTCTGTGCTATGGGGCCTGCCCAATACTCCATGTTGATACTAAGTGGAGGGGGGCACAAGATGGGACGTGGGCTCTTGTCTACTGCTGTTGGATGTGTGACTAACATCTCCTTCTTGGAGGGCTATTTAACAGCACCACAAAAGGGCACACATTCACTTCTAGAATTTTCTCTTGGTGGATAAACTCATCAAGTGGGCCAAATACATATGAACCAACACGGTCGATGTCATGCAGTCTGTTATAGAGCAAACCTGGGTGTGTGCAGGACCAGCAGTTAGCATAATGGTTATGTCGCTGGACTCCCATGTAGTCGACTGTGGTTTGAGTCCCGGACCCGGTGGCTTAAACTCACGCCGGGCGCGTGTGTGTGTGTGTGTGCCCAAGATCCCAAGAGGAGAATGGAGGAGAAGGGATTGTGGCATGGCCATCCCTCCTGGGGGGTGATTTCTCGCTTTCTATCTCTCTGTCTCTCTCTGTCTGTCTGGCCAGCGCACGCGCCCTATAGCACAAACCTCTTCAAAAAATAAAAAAGAAAAAAGAAAACCTGGGGACACACCGAGGGGCGCCAGAGGGCGATGGCACTCTCTAAGCAATAACGTGCTCTGCAAGAGAGTCAGGACAATTTCTGGGTCCCAGCACGGGAGGACCGTCTTCCGTCCACAAGTCATCAAGAGTGACGGGATGTGCAACTGAGTCATGAGGACAGCGACAGCTGGGGCTAGACCCAAGCCCTGCTACTTCCTCTGAGCCTGGGGCCTGTCCTCACTGAGCCTCAAATTCTACAAACGAAGCGTTTCTGCCTCAAAGGACTGAAGACAGACGAGAGGAGACAGGGCACACGTCTGCGGAGGAGGTACTCCACGGGTGTGATCTACTACGATGATCTCCATAGAAAAAAGGCAAGACACACAGCAGGGTTCCAGTTCTTTAAGACGGAAGCGGAATCTGGAGTGTGTCTGTGTATGTGTGAGTACACGTGCCTAGGAAAACACCTGACGGCAGCACACCAAGCCGTTAATAACAGCTATTTTGTGGGCGGCAAGGGGGTGGTGAAGAGTGAATGCTGAGACTTATAAGGTAACCTCTTGTATGCTGATTGTTTGATTATTTATCACTTTTGTAATAAGATTTAAAAACAGTAAAAATGTGAGTGAGGCAGCTTGGGGCATGGTGGTTAGGGTGGCTGGATCACACATGGTTGACCACATGCTTCTGTCCTGGGCCCAGCAGCCTGAAAAAACATGCCGATGCATGCACATGCGTGCTCCAAATCCCGAAAGGAGGGAGAAATGGAGAAGGGTGACTATGCCCCTTGGGGGATTGCGTTCTTGCTTCCCCCCTCTCTGTTGCTCTCCAATGAGTGCACCCTCTAGCAAATCAAAAACCAAAACAACACAAAACAAAAGCTGTGAGCAGATGAAGCACCATTGTGGAGAAGGGATGTGTGAAGATGGAAGCTGTGAGATGGGAGTCAGAGGTGGGGGCAGACACGCAGGTGGCAGAGCTGGACCAGGAAAGGCGGGCAGCCTCTGAGCTTCCTGAGGGCCACTGCAGGCCTGCTCGTCTCTGCCCTCCCAGCTCAGACGCACAGTGACTGTTTCTGACTGACTGAATGAATGAGTGAGTGAACGATACATGAGGAGGGGGTCACCAAGGGGAAAAGGTGACCCAAAGAAACAGCAAATAGAGAGAGTCCTGAAGGACAGAGTGCCAGAAAGTTGAAAAGGCCAGACTAAGAGAAAGAAGAAGGGGCCAGGTGGTGGTGCGGTGGTTGAGGCAGCGGGATCCTACATGGCCGACTGCGTGCTCTGAATCCCCGACCCGGCTTGGAAAACACTCTGGGTGCATGTGCAGGTGCACCTAAATCCCAGCGGGAGAGTGGGGGAGGATGGACTGAGCATGGACAGCCCACCCTGAGGGGTCCCTTCTCTTTCTCTCTGGTGAGTGCACATATCCTGTAGCCAATTTGAAAAAAAAAGAAAGAAGAAAAGAGGGACCAGCAGGGGTGTGGTGGTTAAGGTGCTGGACTCCCACACGGCCAACTATAGTTCGAGTCCTGGACCTAGAGGCTTGCTTTCTCATTTTCCTTCTTTCTACCTCTCTCTGGTCAAAATTTTAAAATAATAATAAAACAATTAAATGAAATAATTATTTTTTAAATATTTATTTACTTATTTAATTCCATTTGTTATTATTATTATTAATTTGACCAGAGAGAGAAAGGGAAAGTGAGAAAGCAAGCCACCAGGTCCAAGATTCGAACCACAGTCGGCCACATGGGAAGCCAGCACCTTTAACCACCATGCCACCTGCCAGCCCCTAAATTAAATAATTAAAAAAAAAAAGATGAAGGAAAGAAATGGTGATGGGAATGTAAAATATGTATACGGTGGTTCCTCGAGTAGTTAAACCCATGGTCCCACAATTCCGCTCCTGCATATATACCCAAAAGAACTGGAAGCAGTAGACAGAAGCGTGTACACCCACCTGCACCGCAGGATTATTCACAATAGCCAAAAGGTGGAAGCAACCCAAATGGAAAGACAAAGCGTGGTATACATATAGACCAGAGTAGTACTCGAGCCTTAAAAAGGAAGGAGATTCTGGCTAAACTACGACACAAGTGGACCTTGAAGACAGGCTAATTGAAAAAAGCCTGTCACAAAAAGACAAGTACTGAATGGTTCCACTTACAGGGACCGAAAGTGGTCAAATTCATCGAGACAGGAAGTATCGTAATGGCTGCCTGGGGCTGGGGAGGGTGGAGCGTTAGCATGTGATGGGCGCACGGTTTAATTTTGCAGCATGATGGATGGCAGTGATGGCTCTGCAACACTGTGACTGTTCTTAACCACTGAAATATACACTTAAAAACCACTAAAATGGGGGCCAGCCGGTGGTGTGGTGGTTAGGGTGCTGGACTCCCATGTGGCCAACTGTGGTTTGAGTCCCCAGACATGGCTGCTGGCTTTCTTACTTTCTCTCTTTCTCGTTCTGTCCCTCTCTGATCAAATTAAAATAAATTTAAATAAAAATAATATTAATAGAATCCACTAAAATGGGGCCACCAGGTGGTGTAGTGGTTAAGGCGGTGGATCCCGCATCGCCGACTCCAAGGTTCAAATCCCAGACCTGGTGGCCTAAAAACCATGGTGGGCATGTGTGTGTGTGTGTGTGTGTGTGCCCAAATCTGGAGAAGAGAATGGAGGAGAAGGGACTGTGGTGTGGTCATCCCCCTTGGGGGTGTGTGTGTGTGATTTCTCACTTTTCCTCTCTCTGTCTCTATGATGAGCACACGTGCCCTAGGGCACAAATCCAAAAAAAAAAATAGCAACTGCTAAAATGGTACATTTAATGTTAAAGGTATTTACTGTGAGAGAGAGCAGAGAATCATTTCGAGGGGAGACGGAGACCTAGGCAGAAGAGACAACTGGGAAGAGCCCCCTGGGCTGGGCGGCGGCAGCTCACCTGCTCCTTGGTGCGGCCCTCGCGCTCCCGGATGTGGGTGGTCACGATGCGCTCCATCTCCTCCCGCAGCCGTGGGTACTGCTGGAGCTGGGGAAGGGCGGGAGGGGAGAGAGAGCCACGTACACGAGGGGCATGGGCAGGGTGCACCCAAGCCCCACCAGAGTCCAGGGGTCCGGGGCGTGGGTGGGAGGCACACTGCGGGGAAGAGACCTGGGGTCCCAGGAAGCTGATGGCACCGAGCCTCGCCACCCCTTTCCCCCAGTGTGTACGTGGCAATTGAAGGGTCTTCCGGGTTCCATGCCCACTTCGCTGACCTAACCGGGCAACTCCAAGGGAAGGGGTGCTTCCTGGGGGAGAAATACACAGGGACAAGCCTGCACTCCAGCTATCTTACACAGACCCATTAAGGCCTCACTGGGGCATTAGGTCCCCAGGCTTTCCCTGACTCTCAGGTCTACCCCTTGCCTTTCTAAAGGCTCGGAGGGACAGCCAGCTCCGGAATCAGGCAGCGACAGCTCCAGATTCCTGTGCAGGAGGAGGCGGGGAGGGCAGGGCCCAAGGTGCCAGTTGGCCTCCTGAGTCAGGCGGGGTCAGGCTATGCTCCTAGTCAGAGCTGGGAGGAGGCTCAGGGGAAAACCAGCAGTCACACCAGACACCATGCGGGAGCCACAGGCACAGGCATGCGAGGGCAGGGGGCATGCGGAGGGGGGCACCAGCAGCATGAGCAGTACCCCGCGGGGGCCTGGCTGGGCCCTGGGCCCTCCTGGCAGAATCGGCCGTTCTGCCTCGCTTTGCATGCTCCTGCTTCCACCATCGCCCCAGCCCCTCCACCCACTCCCCTGGGGAGCTCAGCAGCACCCATCTGCCCCCAGTTTTTAACTGAGGCTAAATGGAAGTTGCTCCAAACCCTCCCCCTCTGCCCACAAGGCCTGCCCTCAGCTCAGCTGGGCTCCGGACAAAGCCCGGGTCATTCATTCAACTTCGAGGCTCTGTGGGTGCCTCCTTCAGAAAGCCTGTCTTGACCACCTAAGTTAGGGGCCTCCCCACCAGCCCCCCTCGACTGACAGGCCTGTGAGTGCCCCAGAGACGGAGCAGGGGCAGGCACAGCACCGTGCTCGAAGGGGCATGTCTGTGGGTGTCTCCTTCTTCAGAAAGCCTGTCTTGACCACCTAAGTTAGGGGCCTCCCCACCAGCCCCCCCTCGACTGACAGGCCTGTGAGTGCCCCAGAGACGGAGCAGGGGCAGGCACAGCACCGTGCTCGAAGGGGCATGTTGAGGGAATGAGGGAATGGATGAAGGATGATGTCCGCCCTCCCTGCCGGGAAGAGCCGGCACAGGGTGCTCGCCTTCTGACGTAGACAGATCTTCCTCCGGGAGGGGGCCTCACTGAGCTTCTGGTGGTGGGAGCCCACACAACAGCTTCCAGCCATGCTGCCCACCCTCCCCTCTTGGTGGCCATCTGAGGCCCAGGTAGGGTGATAGGAGCAAAGTTCCAGGGCCAGGACTCCCAGGTAGATCCCCAAGGTGGGAAGGGAGCTGGGGGTTGGTGCACTTGGGTCATAGGTGGTGTGTCTGAGGGCAGGATGGAGGCCAAGGAGATGGGGGATAAGGAAGAAAGCAGGCTGGACAGCAGCCCAGGAGAGGCAGCCCTGAGGCACACAGATCCCACCCACCCGGGGCTGTGCCAAGGGCGTGGCCTAGGGGAGGGGCCGCCTGAGACCAGGGTGAAGAACGCGGGCTGAAGGGGAGGGCCCCAGTGGACTCCACTGCTCCCTGAGGCTCAAGGAAGGTCTTGCTCCTCACAATTGCCAAGGGTTTGGGCAGAGAATGGGGACTGAGTCACCACGAGGCGTCCTCCGAGGTGGTCCCGAGTGCTCCCTCCCAGGGCAGAGGGGAGGGGGACAAAGACGAAGCAATTTGCCAAATAGCATGAGCAGTCCTCCCCCTAACCGCCTGGATGTGACATTTCTCAAGTTTTCCACGTGTCACACGTGACAGGGCAGCCTCAGCCCCTTGGAGAAGTTTCCGCTCCCTTTGAGCATCTTTTTCCATCTGGCTGCCTCTGAGCGGTTCCAGGCCTTTTAGCCAGTGTTTAAAATGCAGCTTTCCTTTCTGAGTCCTTGGCTGAGCGGGCTGTCAGCCTGCAGCCCATTGGTTTCATGGTCAGGGACGCAGCCCCTGGACCCACAAGGCCTTGGGTTCAAAGTCAGCCTCTGTCTGCTAGCTCTCCTTGGAAAAGTGACTGGCCCTCTTTGAGCCTCAGTTTCTCCACATGTAAAATGCTTCAGGATGATTGAGGGGACTGAGTAGCACACCTCATACCTGGCAGTAAATTCTGGACTTCATCCAGAGATGAAAGGTCTAATCCCAGCTGGGCTGAGTTGAGCATTTATCAGATTTTGGTGGAAGTGGTAAGACAGGACGGGCAGGTGGCATGATGGTTAGGGGCACTGGACTCCCACATGGCCGACCATGGTTCGAGTCTCACACCTGGCAACTTGTTTTCTCACTTTCCCTCTCTCTCTCTCACTCTGTCCCCCTCTGGTCAAATTTAGAGCAATAAATAAAGTTAAATAAAATAATTATTTTAAAAAATGTAAGGCAAAGATGGGTGATTCTTGTTATATTAAAAAATTACTGTTTGTTAAATAAAATCAAAAAGCACAAATATTTTCCTCTTTTCAAACTTTTTCTTGACCAATTTTTCTGCTCACAAAGATCCTTCTGACTCACTGTAAACTATAACATGACCGACGTTGGTGAAGGAGAAATGGAAAGATTGCTATGCTTCTTGCCCTCCTTCAAAATAATGGCTAGTAATCTGGTGACTGTGTGTCTGGAATTTTATCAGTCATAGCTATTATTTTCCTCCCAAACACCATATACTATTTTCTGAAACCTCCCTTTCCCCTCCTCCTGGCACATTATGAAGCACATGTAAATGAAAATTAATATGCCTTGCCTATTTTTTTTTTTTTTGGCTATAGGGCTCATGTACTGGCCAGAGAAAGGGAAAATGAGAAATCACCCCTGGGGGACGGCCACGCTGGAAATCCCTTCTCTTCCATTCTCCTCTCGGAATTTTGGGAGGGTATGCACATTCACTCAGTGTGATTTTTGTCATCGGGTCTGGAACTCGAACCTTGCAGCTGGCTATATGGGATCTAGCACCTTAACCTCCTGCCACCTGTTGGTCTCTCACTCTCAAGGCAGGGTCCTACTACGTGGAACTCCTGCCTTAGCTTCCCAACAGGGACGACAGGTGCACATCTCCACACTCAACTCTGAGGTTAGACTGGAATCGAGCCCTGGCCTCCCACGTGGTCCTGGCCTGCAGAGCATAGCATCGTAGCAGTGTGGGCCTACCAATTCCCTCTTGATAGACATCTGGGTTGTTTCCAGATTTTTCCATTTACAATAATTACTGTTTTCCCTTTGGAATGCAATTCAGCAAAGTATTTAATGGTTTTTAAATGTTTGTATGTAGCAATTGATCTTCTAGGAATCTATTCTAAGGAAATAATCCTAGAAAAAGAAAAACTCTTTATACACAGCGATATCCTTTGCCAGGTTATTTATAATACTGAAAACCTAGAGGCCATCTAAATGTCCACTGGCCACTTAGTTAAGTGAACTCTGGTAAGTGTATTCAGTGGGATTTTTTCTTTTCTTTTTTCTTTTCAGAAAGATACAAATACAAAGAGGGAGAAAGGACCCCCAATGGGGCGTGGTCATGCCACAGTCCCTTCTCCTCCATTTCTGCATCTCACAGGATTTTAGGCATGCATATACACGTCTAGCATGTTAAGCCACCAGGGCCAGGATTCGAACTTTGGTTGGTCATGTGGAATTCAGTTCCCTTCATCACTAGGCTACGAGGCCAGCCCTATTTAACGGAATTTTATACAACCATTACAAATGTTTATTTTAGACTAAGTAATAATATCTAAAAGTTGCACATTATTAGGAGAAAAGGCAGGATGTGAATATATTCCCAGCATGTTCATCTACTAAACAGACCAGCGTACACAGAAAAAAAAATTTTTTTTAAAGGAATATAAACTGGTGGAAACTTTTGAGAGAGTAGTCTTATAGATGTTGCCAAAATTTGGGCCAGCAGGTGGCGTGGTGGTTAAGGTGCTGAACTCCCACATGGCCAACCAAGGTTCAAGTCCCGAACTTGGTGGCTTGCTCTCTCACCTTCCCTCTCTCTCTCTCTCTCTCTGTGTCTCTCTCTGGTCAAATAAAAAAAGAATAATGATGATGATGAATAAAATAAAATAAAATAATTAAAGATGAAAGCAGTTGCCAAAATTGGGTCAGCAGGTAGCATGGTAGTTAAGGCACTAGACACTCCCATGTGGCCAACCATTGTTCAAGTCTCAGACCTAGTGGCTTGCTTTCTCACTTTCCTTCTCTCTGTGTGTCTGTCTTTCTCTGGTCAAATGAAAATGCTTGAATGATTAAATAAAATTAAATAAATAATTCTTAAAAAAAAAAGTTGCCAAAATTGTGTATGTTCCCATCTACTAACAAGTCAACTGTATATCTAGAAATTTGCTAAGGAAATAGTAGGATAAATACTACAAATACTTGCATCTCTGTAAGAAAGGTGTGCAATGCTTTATGAAAGAAGAGAAAAAGTTGAAATTACCTAAATGTCCATCCCTGAGATACTGAACACAAATCATGTCACATTTCCACAGTGGAATACAACTCAGCAGTGAGAGGGCCTGAATTTATGAAGCAACAACACATTGCCTAGTGAAAAAGAGTAGGGTTGGGGGACCAGCAGTTGGTGTAATGGCTATGTTGCTGGACTCCCATGTGGTCGACTGTGGTTCGCGTCCCAGACCCGGTGGCTTAAAACTCAGGCTGGGCGCGTGTGCGTGCGTGCCCAAGATCCCGAGAGGAGAATGGAGGAGAAGGGATTGCGGCGTGACCATCCCCCCTGGGGGGTGATTTCTCGCTTTCTGTCTCTCTGTCTCTCTCTGTCTGTCTGGCAAGTGCACGCGCCCTATAGCAAAAACCTCTCCAAAAAAAAAAGAGTGGGGTTGGGAGCCAGCAGGTGGTATGATGGTTAAAGCGCTGGACCACCACATAGTTGACCGTGGTTTGAGCCCCAGGCCCAGAGGCTTGAAAATCATGCTGAGCGTGTATGCCCAAATCTGAGAATGGAGGCGAGATTGCAGCATGGCATCCTCCCTGGGGGGTGATTCCTCACTTTCCTTCACTCTATCTCTCTCTCCAGTGAGCGCACGTGACCTATGGCGAAATATTTTTTAAAAAAGAGAAGAAAGAATGGGGTCGATACTTCTGGAACTTGCAGTTAAGGCAGATGTGCCCCATCTCCAGGCACAGGGTAAGCCTGGACTGTCCCCCAAAGTCTCTGATTCGGCCTGCTGAGGTGCAGGGAGGAGGAGGGTGGGGAGGGTCAGCATCTGAATCCTGGAAAAGCTGCCACAAGCAACTTATTCTGTTGTGCTCCCATGGGAAGACTGCTTCAGACAACCTGGCTAAAAGATCCTCAAAATGCCCAAAAGCCGACAAATAGGAAAAAGGCATTTGAAAGGTTACAGAAAACTGAAAAGAGGCTCCAACGTGCGTGAGCTGCTGTCCAGCGAGTAATCCAACATGCTTTTAGGCAAATTGGTTTGGAGGGACCGGAATAGCTCGCCCGCCCCAGGAGGCCTGGACCCCAGACCCCTTCCCTCCACCTTCCTGTGTCTGAATTTCACTCTGCCTTTCCTTTTCGGGACTCTGCTGTGTCCTCTGTAAACTGAGTAATAATATTACCCACTTCTTAGGGCTGACGAGAGTATGCTGTCAGATGGCAAGGGAAGCACTTGGTCCAGTGCCTGGCACACAGTAGGTGCTCATGAACAGCCAGCAGCTCCTTCTCATCACCACTGTCATTGTTAATGACAGAAAGGGGCCGCCAAGGATGCCAGGCTGGAGCAAAGTCCTCCAGCAGGATGGGGCCATGAAGGGATCAAGTGCAACAGACCCAGGGTTCTAAGCTGCCAGGAAACACCAGGGCCAGGCATCACTGGGCCAGTGTGGATGTCTGGGTCAGCCACGTGGGCAGCCATGAGGCCGCCAGGCCGTTCTGCCCACAGGAGGCTGCGGCCAACAGGAAGGGGCGGCTGGGCCCAGCCCCGCCCGGGCGGCCTGCATACCTTTTCGCTACACTTTCTGATGGTGGATGTGAGCTCACTGACTACCATGTCCACACACTTGATACTGGGCTCTTTGAGCTTCTGCACCTGCTTTTTCACTGTGGCTTCAAAAGCGAGGTCAGGTGTGAAGAGGCCTGTCCTGCACCCAGGGAGGAGGAGGGGTCAGGAGAAAGAGCAGCCGCGGGCAGGGAGTGGGGAGGTGAGAGCCAAGCAGGGCCGGAGGCCAGGGGTGAGGGAGGATGGCAGGGGCATGGGGGAAGAGAGAGAGACACCGACACAGAGAAAGAGAGAACAGAAGACAATGTGAGCGTGGGACCAGCCCTCCCTACCACCACCCGGGGTTGGTGCCTCCCAGGTGCTACAAGCACCCCCCAGGGCTCTGTGGGCATGGCCGGGGGCCTGAGGGACCAAGCCTCTGTCCATAGAAGACATCCCACTGAGTTCAGATGCTCTCCCAGGGCTACCCTCCGCATACTCCTCAGCTACACTGAGCCTCCCACTCTGTTTTCTAACCATCCTTGTCCACGGCTTGGGGGCCTCCTAAGGCACTAACCCAGCTCAGGACAAGGCCAGGACTCCAGTCACCCCCCTGTTCAATTTTAGGTTTCCCCAGCATCCTCTGCATTTGCTTCTTCCTGACTCTAAAGCCAGCACTGTCCCCAGCCTCCACCGGATTGCTGTGTCTGGTAGCTCAGGCCGCGCACTGCACGACTCTGGGGAGCCCCAGCCAGAGAGAGCACAGAGCCCACGATGCAGCGCGCCGCCTGACCTCCATGTTCCAGATCCCTGCTCTACTCCTGCCCACTGTTCTCCTCAAGGGGCATCCCTTGCCCCTCTTCCAACAGGGTCTGGGGGAACTGTGCTCCAAAAGACAGAAAGAGAGAGAAGAGGGGAAGAGGGAAGACAGAGAGTGGAGGTGGAGATGGGGCCAGGGTGGCAGTAGGGAGAGGAAAGGAAGGGAGGCTGGGGTGGAGCCAGTGAGCACTGGACTTAGAGTCCAAGGCCCTGGCTTCGAGAGTAGCTCTGCCACCCCCTGGCTGATACGGGGGGTCTTCACAACGTTCGTGGAAAATGCACCTTTCCATCAAACTGTGCATGAATTTCAAAAAGTGTTTTGCACCAAAAGAAACTTGTACTTTAATTCCATTTTCCACAAACTATTTGAAGGACCCTTGTATGACCTTGGGCAAGTCACTTGATCTCCTGAGCCTCAGTTTTCCTGCTGTGAAGTGGGCACCGTCCTGCCCTACCCTCCTCGCATGGTTTTCTGAGGCTCAGGTGACAGCAGAGGGGAGCGCGCTTGTTCCTGAAAGGCCAGATGTGGATGGGAAGGAAGAGGAAGGCCTGAGTGCGGGTCCTGAGTGAGGGGGGCATGAGGATGGGGAGGATGAAGGGCAGCGGGGAGTCAGGTGCCTGCTAGTCCCAGGTCCTCTGCACCTCTCTGGCCTCCCAGGGCCACAGAACTGCTCCCAGGAAGGCCCTGCACCTCATCTGTCTCCAGCGCCAAGGTTTCCCCAAGACCCCGTCCAGGAGCCCCGGAGCTTGAGGTCCCCTCAGGCCCTCTTCTTTCTGAGGTGGGGCTCTCCCTCAGGACTCACAGGGTAAGTAGCCAGCCGTCATTCCTTGGTCCCTCGGTCCCTGGGCTTGGGGGCAGAGGTGGGCGAGGTGCCCTCAGAGGGCTCCCTGCCCTGCTTGGTGGTAGCCTGCCTCCCGCCCCGCTGAGGTCTGTACATGCTACCGAGGAGGCAGTGGGGGCTGGGAAGGAGCGCCTGGCAGCAGTGCAGGGCGGGGCGGGGGCGGGGGCGCTGGCCCCCAGGTTACCTTCTTGGTGCACTGTCTAACGGTGCTGATTAGCTCTGAGATAACCATGTCCACACACTTGAGACACGGCTCTCGGATCTTCTTCACCTGCTTTTTCACAATGGTCTCAAAGGCCATGTCTGGGGTAAACAGCCCTGTTCTGAATGCCCGGAGTGGGAGAAGGGACAGTGTCACAGGCCAGTGCCAGCCAGGAGGGTCAGGCCAGGGCCCCTCCCCAGTGCCTGAGCGCTACCCGAGGGATCCTCCCACTACCCTTCTCTGAGCCTCGGTGTCCCCATAGGTAAAATGGGCAGGAGGGATTCTAATGTGGGGCTTTCAGTCCATGCTCCTTGGGGCGAAACTAGGCCTGCCTGCATCTGTTGTATATATCCTGCTTCCTCTGAAGAGTCTGTTTGTATAAAAGGTTCTGTGGCCACAGATGATTTGAAAATGGCCAAACTGGGTTCTCCTTAAGAGCCTTTCCAGGAATAGAGCATTTAAATTTCAGACTAGAAGAGAGGTGTTTTTCTTTGTCTGGGCCAATGTAGCTACCAGTATGTAAATCTTGTGTCCATCCTTGGAATTGAACCAGGTTGAAAGTAGGGACATTACTCATTCACTGCCTCGCACATAGTAGGTGCTTTAACTTTTCTGCCAAATGGGGTTACTGAATGAACACAGTGTAGGTCTGTCCTTGAAGGGGCTTTTAAGGAACAGAATCTATTCCCGATCTTCCTTCCTACTCTAGGGGGCAGAGAGGTGGGGTGGCATGGGGCTGACGCTCATCTGTGGGTATATGGGACTGTCTAGAGGGTTGAGGAGCCCCATCCCATCATGAAGGGACACAGTCGTTCCTGGATGCTCGGCCCCAAGCCCTGCCTGGTGGTCTGGGCACCTTAGCTTAATGCCTGGGTAGGATGGGGCGGCTGTCTCACCTTGGGGAAGGCCAGGAACCCAGCCCCAGAAGGTGTATCCCTAGTCACCTGTGCCCTGGGCCCTGCCCTGGTCCAGCCTCTGGGTTGCTGGGTAGAGGATGGCCCAGGCCACCCATCCACCTCCTCCAGCTGCAGCCCAGCAAGCTGGGAGCCAGAAAGTCAGGGCTGGAAGACTGGGGACCAGGGCTCTTGATCTTTCCTGAAGGAGGCCCATTCATCGCCCCTGTGTCTCTGTGCTAGACCCCCCAGCCAGCCCAGGGTCAGCCCCCCTCCCTGGTCCCAGTACGTGCCTAATGCCATGGATATTCTTGATGGCATAGCTGATCTCCCGTCGGAGTTCCTTCTCATCAAACTCCATCTGTGCAGGAGAGCAGAGAGACAGCGGTCAGGCCCGCCCCACTCCCAGACTGGCTACCAGGGCCTGGCAGGCTCAGCCACTGAGAGTCCTGAGCCTCCTGTCCTACCTTGACCAGCTCAAAGGGGAAGCGCTCATGAAAGATCCGGTTAATGCGGGCTCCCCCCGACAGTTCGTAGGTGTCGATCTGGTCTCCTGAGCCCTCTATGCGCTTCTCAAAGTCCACGGCAAACTGCTGGACCATCCTAGGAGGAGAGTGGTCAGCCTGAGGGGCAGGAGCAACCCAGGGCAGGGTGTGGTGCTGAGGGGCTGGGGGCAGGGGCTAGGACATCTCGGTGCTGGGGTCGCGAGTCGTGGGGAGCCTCACTGCAGCAGGGCCTTGGTCTTGCGCGCTGGGTCATCCGGACGGAAGTTCTTGTACTCATCCACCTCCTTCTCAATGGACAGCAGCTGGCTCTGCAGCTTGTTCCGCAGTCCGGGCAGAGTGTCCCGGATGTGGTTTGTCAGTTGCTGGGGTTTGAGAAAAGAGTCTAGGCCACCATAGGTAGCAAACCCAGATGTCCACGGGCTAGGTGGGGACCAGGAAAGTGGCCTGAGGACAGGGCCAGGCTCATAACAGGTGCACACAGAAGGGTATTCGTTGAATGGATGCACACAGAACTTGATTCTCCACAGAAGCCAGCAATCTGGGTTTGAATTTAAAATTACCTGGTTTCTAACCAATTTAATATTTTTAAACACCATGGGTGCCAAACCAACTGCATCCGGGGCATGGGTGGCTGGAAGGCTGCCCCTTGCACCCTCTAGGTTTAAGGCCTTTTTAAGGCCATTCTCAAGTTCTGGTGCATACTCTGGCTAGGTCACCCTACGGGTACTCCCCGAGCCTTTGCAACGACCCTGGGAAACAGGATCTGGTCACATTAGCTCCATTTTACAGATTCATAAACAGAGGTTCAGAGAATTCGAGAGAGTGTCTCAGTGAGGTAATGACAAAGCTAGGATTAGGGGCCGCCAGGTGGTGGCGGACTGCAGTTCAAGTCCTGGATCTGGCAGCTTGCTTTCTCACTCTCTCTCTCTCTCAGGTCAAATTTTAAAATAACTATAATAAATAAAATTAAATTAAATAACAATTATTGAATAAAGTTAACTTAAATAACAATTCTTGGGGCCAGCAGATGGTGTGGTGGTTAAGGCACTGGACTCTTAAATAGCCAACTACAGTTCAAGTCCTGGACCTGGTGGCTTGCTTTCTCACGTGCTCTTGCTCTCTCCCTATGTCTCTCTCTGGTGAAGTAAAATAATAATAATAAGTAAAATTAAATAACTAATTGTTTTAAAAAAACAGATGGCGTACTGGGTATGTCGCTGGACTTGATGTGGTCGATCGCATTTCGAGTCCTAGCGCCAGTGGCTCAAAACTCACACCAGCTATGAGTGTGTGCATGCCCAAGATCCCAAGAGGAGAATGGAGGAAAAGGGATTGCAGCGTGGCCATGCCCCCGAGGGTGATTTCTCGCTTTCTGTCTGTCTCTGTCTCTCTGGCGAGCATATGTGCCCTATGGCAAAAATCTTTCTCTTAAAAAAACAAAAAAAGCTGGGATTAGAGCCCAGGTTTGTGGCACTGCCTCCCTGCTTCAACACACACACACGTGCATGCACACATGCACACACATACATCCTCAGTTCTGGAGGGCCCATTCTGGATGGAGAAACAGGCAAGGAAAACCCCTGGGGACACCTGTCCCAGTGTCCTGGCCAGCCTCTCCCCATTTCAGAGGGCAAGGTCCTCAGTAAGTATACTCCAATCCTGGCTCCCAAACTCAAGCCCTGTCAACGCCACCCTCCACACAAGGTCTTGGTCTCCTCTGTCCTGGGGAGTTCTGGACTCCTGTCTCAGGTCTCAGACAGGGAAAGGTGAGCAAAACTGCTGTTGCCTCACTGTGGGACTTTGACCACATGATTCGCTTCTCTAGGTCTAACATCTCCGGTCACCCTTAAAACACATCTGTTTTTCTGTTTGCATGCCAATTTCCCTAGGTCCTCCCCGGCCGTCCCCTACCTGGTTGAGGACCTTCTGCAGGTAGGGAGTGCCCATGCGGTCAGCCAAGTGGCGATAGGATGGGTGCGAGAGGAAGAACTTGCGCTCAGCGGCCAAGGCAGCCGTGATGTCCTTCTTGCCATCAATGTCCTTCTGGCTCCGGTTCACGACCCCAATGTAGCCTGTATGGGATCCAGGTCAGGGCAACCAGCCTTCCTGGGGAAGGGGTGTGAGGGGAAGGGCAGGGGAGAGCCCTGTTTACCTCTGCGCAGGGGGAGGAGCTTGTTTTCCAGCACGTCACGGGCATCTGTGCCCTCGTCCATCAGGTCCAGCTTGGTGATGACGCCGATGGTGCGCTGACCTGGGAGGGTTGTCTCCATCTGCAGCTGTCCTTGCACACAGGACCCCATGCACTCCCACGCCCGCCCACCCTGCTTCCTTCCTCCCCACATTCTCCCTTACCCACTCCTTACCTCCCCCTTTCCTCCTATATTCTGTTCTTCGTGGAATATCCGAAATGACTTGTAAAGGCATAAATCTGATCCTGTCACTATTCTGCTTCCCTGCAGGGGCTCCCCTTCCTCTAAGACCAGGCCCCCGGGGCCTTGCACATCGCAGCCAAGTGGGAGCCTACCCTGGGGGTCCACCTCCTTGGCGATCTTGAGAGCATCGGAGTTGGCCAGGTCGGAGTTGGCCGGAGACACGGCCAGAATGAGGCAGTTCTCCTTGGTGACAAACTGCATCAGCATGTCCCGGATCTGGAACTCGATGTCGGGAGGTTGGTCCCCCACCGGGACCTTGGTCATTCCAGGCAGGTCCACCAGGGTCAGGTTCAGCACTGGACAGGGCGGTGAGAGGGAGGGCTCAAGGGAGAGGCGTGGCCGTGGGCGGGCAGAGTGGAGGAGCAGGGCCGGCTTAGAGACCACCCGCGGGGGACAGGGTCGTAAATGAGCGGGGCTCGGGAAACGCACTGGCTAAAGCGGCGACCAGTGGGAGGCGTGGTCATGGGTGGGCTAGGAGGGGTCGCTGTGGGGGCGGAGTCTGCAGGAGAAGCGTGGCCCGCAAGACGCACAGCCAGCAAGGGGCGGGACCAGGATGGTTCCGGGGGCGTGGACACGCGAGGGAGGGCAGGGCGGGGGCGGGGCCAGGCTTCTTACCGTGAGGCGAGTACACGCGGAGGTTGATGGGCACCGGCGAGATGCCCTTGTTGGTGCCCGTGACCCGGTCGGTCTCCGCCTCGATCTCCAGGCGCACCTCCTCGAAGTCGGTGAATTTCTTCCCCTTGCAGTGCAGAAACTCAGCATATTCTGCCCCAGAAGCGGGTAGGGGAATAGGAGGTGTCAAAGCACGGAACCTCTTGGGTCCCATCTCCTAACTGAGAGGTTTCACCTACGCAGAACCATCCTCATCTCCGTCGTGCATTTTTATCCCCATTGTCCAGACGGGAAATCGAGGCTCAAGGAGGGAAAGCTCCTGCCTAGAGTCATGCGGCAATTTGGGAGTCTAGGGAGGACCACCTCTGAGGATGGGAGGACGGCTGATGGAGTAGGCACGTACCTGTGGTAGCATTGACCAGCTGCAGGACCAGAGGGCGTCGAGTGACAATGCCAGATCCTCGGGGCAGGAAGTCCCTGCAATGAGTTATGGTCAGAGGGTGCAAAATCGAAGGGGTCTTCTTCTGTCTTGCCACTGGGAGGTCTACAGCTCTCCCCAAAGTGCTGGCCCCACAGTGCCTTAGCCCTAGGGCTTCCGGTCACTCAGGGAAGATGAAAGGCCAGAAAGGTAGAAAAGACCTCCCCTAATTCCCTGGGGCATGGAATGTATGCATATGAGCTGCCAGGAGTCTAGCCACCAACTCCCCAGCTTCTCAGATGTGTCCTGTGTTGCTTCTCAGTTAAGAGGAAGTCCTTGCCCCAACCCAGACACCGCCTGTCAGCTCGGGAGCAGCTGAGGGATGGGGTGTCCCATATGCCTAAGTGTCCAGTGGCCACAGAGTGGACCCCGGGAGACAGAGCAGCACCTCCCCTCCCTTCCGCTACAGGGAAGGGCAGCTTCTCACTTCCTCTTCCCAGGCCCCATCTGGCTGGGGCTGGGGTGAGGGAGATGGGGGCAGGAGGAGGCAGGCAAAGAACTCAGGCTTCCTGAGTGCCTACGGCATGACGGGCACTTTGGGCTGGCATCTTCCAGGCTCCACACAATAGCCCCACGAGGCAGGCGCCATTAATACCCACGTTTTACAGATGAGGAAACGGAAGCTTAGACACATGTGGGTATGTGGGTACCCCGTCAGAACCCACCAGAACAGACCCTGGACTCAGACTGTCTGACTCTACAGTGAAAGCTCCTGCCACTCAGGCCCCCTCTGAAGGACTGGACTGACTTCTGTCCTCGGACCTAACATTCGCTCATGCCGATGTCAACCTCAGCTGTCCTTCTGGCTGACTCTTGTGGGTTCCAGTCTCTGTCCTGTCAGCTCTTGTCATCCCCCACCCACCTCCGCCCCTAGGCTGGCACAAACTCGAGGGTGGAGGACTCTCCAGGGATCTGGCTGTCGGAATGCCAGTCATGTGGTCCCAGGACCCAGGAAAAGGGGAAGCAGGCCAGAGTTGAGGGACTCAAGATTCAGCCAGCGCCTTATTCAAGGAGAGGCACACCCAGGCCCAGGGAGGGCAAGAGAGACCCTCGGGCTCAGACAGGGACAGAGTCAGAACCCAGGGCCCCTGTGGCCAACCCAGAGCCTGACCCAGACCAGTAAGTCTTTCTGCAGCCCAGGGTTGGGGCAGGGTTCTCAGAGACAACAGAAGAGACCCAGGGCTCCCAGGTTCAAGGCCCCCTCATGGGGCCTCACCCCGTTCCACCTCTGGGAAGAGCAGAGGCCGCTGGGAGGAGGCAGCCAGTGTCAGGGGGAAGGGAAAGGGCAGTGACTCCTGAACTTCTAAGTCACTGCCAGGTGCCAGGCAAGTGCCTTCTGTTCTTGTTACACTGAGTTGCAGAGGGGCAGGGCTGGCACCTTTCTGCCCTACACTGCCTCCCTATGCCCTGTATGGGGCTCGGCACTCAGGAGATGCTCAGTAAATGCTGACTGAACCCCCAGACCCTGCAATCAGTGCTCTGGGAGGAAATACTCATTTTATACATGAAGCAACTGAGGCTCGGAGAGATGGAGTGGAGCTGGCCTCCTCATGCAGAAGTTAGACCAGGTGTGCTTAGAGAGCCAGATCCACATGGCCAACCACAGTTTGGGTCCTGGCTCCAGCAGCTTGAAAAACATGCTGGGCACGTGTGTGTTTTCCTAAAATCCTGACGGGATGGAGAAGAAGAAAAAAGATTGCAGGGAGACCACACTCCACTGAGGAGTTCTCTCTCTCTAGTGAGCATCTTCTAGCATTCAAAAAGGTGAAGCGTCACATCCAAGGTCACACCGCAGAGCTGGGATTCAAACTCGAGTGTCTGTTGGATCCCAAAGCCCGGGAACTTCCTCATCCAGCTGTGCCACCGGCCCAACCGGAGGAGCCAGACTTGGCTTTTTGCTTGTTGGTTTGTTTTAGTTTGCTATAAAGAGAGGGAAAGAGAGAAAGAGGAGATGAGAAGGCACACCCCAGGGGGGATGGCCATACTGCGATCCCTTCTCCATTCTCCTTGGGATTTTGGGCATGCAGGCACATGAACCCGATGTGTTTTTCAAGTCACCGGGTCTGGGACTTGAACTGTACAGTCAGCCATGTGGGATCCAGCCGCCCAAACCTCTACACCACTGGCTGGGCCCAGATTTGGCTTTTTACATAATTCAATTCAATTCAATTCAGTCTGTGCCAGGGCCTGTGCTGGGCCCGGGGGAGGAGCGATGATGAGTCAGATAGCACCCCGCCCCCACCCTGGGGAGCTCACAGTGGGGGAGGCAGGCTCGTAAACAGATCATGCGATGCGGTGTGGCATGTGTTAGAACAGGGGTGCACCAGGCAGGAGGCCAGGGAGGGGACTCTCTGCCTCTGCCTCTCCCACCCTTTGCTCAGTGATACTTATTCAGAGGGGTCCCTCAGGGTGGTGGAGCCAAGACACCCATTCTCACAAAGGCTGAGGTGGGTGTGGAGGCCCGAGGTCCACCCTATTCCCCACCAGTTCCTCACCCAGCAATACCATGGCAACAGAGTTGCCATGGAAATTGCAAGAAGGGCCAGAAAGGATGGGACTCCCCCACACACACACAGAGACACGGACCTTCCCTGGAGTTCTTCCCTGAGATCTTCCCTCTGAGCAGATGGAGCACCCCCAGCCTGGGGGGCACGGGCCGGGGAGGGCTTAGAGATACCACCCAGAGGGTGCGAGAGTCCAGGGCCTGCTGGGGAGGGTGGTGGGTGGTCAGGGACCTGGGCCAGCCTGCCTCAAGTTGCTGCCTCCCCAGGGCTGCTTAAAAGACAAGCAGCTTACGGGAAGCAGAGATTAGAGGGTAGGATATGTCTGGGGTAGATCCCCTCCTCAGACCGAGGCTTCCTGGGGTGCCCGGGTGGGAAGGTGCCCTGCCAGAGCTCCAGTTCTCAAAGTGAGACCCTACAAGGCCTACAGCAGACTGCCTGGGCAGCTCGTGCAAATGCCCACTCCTGGACCTGGTGGGCTGGATCGCGGAGTGGTGAGGTGTTAGGATCTGGATTTAAACAGGATCCCCATGCAATAGTCTCAGTCTCTTTCAAGGATCAGTAGTTCAGTGGTTAGGAGTGGGTGCTGGGCAGAGGGCCAGGTTTAAATCCGGAATCTGCCCTTCCGTGATGTGGAAACTGAGGCTCAGAGAGGCATGGTCATTTGTCTGCAGTCACACAGCTCTAAAGTGGCAGCTCTGACGGTCAATACTGGGCCTGTCTTTGTCTTTTTCTGGAGAGGTTTTTGCTATAGGGCGCGTGCGCTCGCTAGACAGACAGAGAGAGACAGACAGAAAGCGAGAAATCATCCCCCAGGGGGAATGGCCACGCCGCAGTCTCTTCTCCATTCTCCTCTCAAGATCTTGGGCACACATGCACATGCGCCCGGCGTGAGTTTCAAGCCACCGGGTCTGGGACATGAACTGCGGTCGACTACATGGGAGTCCAACGACATAGCCATTACGCTAACTGCTGGTTCCTCGGGTCTGTCAGACATGAGAGCCCAAGAACCAGAAGGCCTCAGAGAATGACCACCATGAGGTGCCCGCCAGACCACGCCACTGTTTGGTGTTCACATTCAGGAGGGCCTGGTGCCAGGGTCCTAAGGCAGAGGTGCCTAAACAAGCCGTCTCACTCTCTGGGCCTCAGAGGTGTTACATTAAATGAATTGGCTGTCGTGTACTACCGCATGCAGGCTCATGGAGCTTTCTCGCAGACAGAGCTGGGCCTGTGCTCGGCACACAGTAGGTGCTCAGGAGTGTCTCAGCCTCCTCCCTCAGAGAATTCCCAAATTTCAGGAATTCCGAACCTTCCACCCCGCCAGCTCCACACACTGAATCGAGTCTCAGGTTCTGATCACGACCTGTGAAGTGGAAGCCATGGAAGTTGAGGAAGAGTGGCTTTCAGAGACCACCTCATTCTGCATCTTCACCCAGAGGTGGGGCAAGGCTCAGAGACAGCAAGGAGCTGTGAGGACGCACGGCAGTGGAAGAGGCAGCCGAATGGGACAGGACCCAGGGGCCTGCTTCTCAGCCCCATGCCTGGACACACAGTGGAGGGGCCAGTGGTCCCCACTTCCAGACAGTGAGTTCCATGCTCACTAATGGGTTCCCGTGCCTGGCACAGGCCTGCCACATAGTAGTGCTCAGGCAGCCCTGGAAAAAATTAGCACGGCCCTGCAGCTCCACCCTTTCACCGCGACGCTCAGCCACACTTTAGAGCCCTGTTAAAGGGTCCTCTGGGGGCCAGCAGGTGGCATGGTGGATAAGTGCACTGGAATCCCACATGGCCGAGAGTGGTTCAAGTCCTGGACCCAGTGGCTTGTTTTCTCACTTCCCCTCTCTCTGTCTCTGTTTCTCTCTGGTTAAATAAAAATAAGAATGATGATGATGATAAATAAAATAATTCTGTTAAAGAAAAATAGAGCCCCCTGTTGCCGAGGCGGTTAGGGCACTGGATCCCACATGGCTGACCGTACAGTCGGAACCCTGGATCCGGTGGTTTGGAAATCGAGGCAGGCATGTGCGTGTGTGGGCATGTGTGTGTGCATGTGTGTACGTGTGTGTGCACATGCCCAAATCCCGAGAGGAGGATGGAAGTGAAGGGATTGGAGCGTGGCCATCCCCCCGAAAGGGATTTCTCACTCCCCCTCTCTCTGTGTCTCTGTCTCTCTCTGGCAAGCATATGCACCCTACAGCAAAACTTTAAAAAAGAACAATAAAGGGCCCTCTGGGTGCCTACTCTATGCCAGGCCTGCACTCCAGCGTGGACTCAGGCCTGATCTAGCCTGCAGCCAGTGTGACCCCTGCACACCCTGCCTCGTGCCTGGAGCCGAGGGACAGCAGAACAGGTACCCAGAAAAAAGTGTGTCGGCCTGCCAGCCTTGGTGGCTGCATCGTGCCCGGGCGTGGGAGGGTGGATGTGGCATGCCAGCTCTCCCCACTCATTTGGAGCAGATGGTGGCCTCCCAGGGAATCCTTGCCTGGCCATCTGCAGAG